GATTCTTGACACTGGGGCTTCAGACCACATGACTCATGATTTCAAATTATATACTTCTTCACCCAAACCTGTTTCTATTAATATTCAATTACCTACTGGTTCTTTCATAACTGCTACTCATATAGGTGATATTAAAATTAATAATAATTTCACTCTTCACAATGTATTATATGTTCCCCAATTTAGTTTTAATCTTATTTCTATATCTAGCCTTGTTTCAAATGAAAATATTTCTGTTCACTTTACTTCTAACCATGCTACTTTGCAGGATCTGCTCACCAACCAAATGATTGGCTATGCTGATCTTCAAAGTGGTCTTTACCTCTATGATGCTTCTAAATCACTGCTTTCTACAAATCAATTGTCTGTTGCTAATGTTGCTAGTACTCAGTCTTTAGATAATAAATCTGATGTTTGGCACTATAGACTAGGTCATTTACCTTTTCACAGACTGAAATCTATTGTTGACTGTACTGTTTCTCATCATACTAATAAAATCTGTGATGTCTGTCATTTTGCTAAACAAAAACGTTTACCCTTTCCTGATAGCACTTCTTATGCCTCACATGCTTTTGATCTTGTTCATATGGATGTTTGGGGTCCTTTTAGGGTCCCATCTTATTCAAATTTTAAATATTTTTTAACCATTGTTGATGATCACACCAGATGTACTTGGGTTTTTATGATGAAAACAAAAACCGAAGTTAAATTTCACATGATGAATTTTTACAATCTCATTAATACTCAATTTCATACCAAAATAAAAACTATTAGAACTGATAATGGTACTGAATTCATATTTCCAAATTTTTATAACACTTATGGCATTATTCATCAACTTTCTTGTGTTGAAACTCCTCAACAAAATGCTAGGGTTGAAAGAAAACATCAACATATTCTTCAGATTGCTAGATCTCTTTTATTTCAATCCTGTTTACCCCTTATTTTTTGGTCTGATTGTGTTCTCACTGCTGTACATATCATAAATAGACTTCCTACTGCTATTCTTAATAATAAATCTCCTTATGAGCTCTTATATAATAAAGTTCCTGATTATTCTCATTTAAGAGTTTTTGGATCTCTTGTTTATGCTTCTACCTTAACTGCTGATAGATCTAAATTTGATAAAAGAGCTGTCAAATGTGTTTTTGTTGGTTATCCTTTAGGTTCTAAAGGATATAAATTGTATGATATTGCTAATCATAAATTTCTTATCTCCAGAAATGTTAAATTCTATGAAATGATTTTTCCTTACAAAAATGATTCTGATTTATCTAACCCAACTCAATCTGATTCTACACCTCTCAGTTCTTCTACTAATAATGATTTTCCCTATGACTACAACATACATTCAAATATTTTTACAAATCACTTGCAAAACCAAATCAATGATGAAATAAATATTATTAATATGCATGATTCTGTTAATACAAATGATTCTAGCACTTTACAGACTACTACTTCTATTCCAGAAGATCAATCTAATAGGAAATCAACAAGAGTAAGATCTTTACCCATTCATCTTCAAGACTATAATTATGAATTACCTACCTCTATCACTGCAGGTATTTCTCCTTCATCCTCTTGTAATTTTGTTAAATATCCTATTCAAAATCATATAAACTACAATAGATTAAGTACTTCTCACTCTTGTTTTATTGCTGCTCTTTCCAAAATCATTGAACCTAAAACCTATAAACAAGCTTCCAAATTTCCTGAATGGCAGAATGCCATGTCAACTGAAATACAGGCTCTTGAGAAAAATAATACCTGGATTTTAGTTGACCCTCCTGCTAATCATAATATCATAGGCTGTAAATGGGTTTTCAAAACCAAATTAAAATCTGATGGTTCTTTAGATAGATATAAAGCAAGATTAGTTGCTAAAGGCTATACTCAAGAAGAGGGCTTTGATTATTTTGACACCTTTTCCCCTGTTGTCAAAATAACTACTATAAGAATTATTTTAGCAATTGCTAGTGCTAAAAATTGGTTTTTACATCAGTTAGACATTAACAATGCTTTTTTACATGGTGATTTAAATGAGGACATCTTTATGCAGCCCCCTCCAGGGTATTTAGCTCCCAATGATAACAGAGTGTGTAAACTTATCAAAAGTCTGTATGGTCTAAAGCAGGCTTCTAGACAATGGTTCTGTAAGCTCTCTGACTCCTTAAAATTGATTGGTTACAAGCAATCTCAAGCAGATTTTTCATTATTTACCAAAACTGATAATACTTCTTTCACTGTTCTTCTTATTTATGTAGATGATATTATTCTTGCTGGTAATAGCATAGAAGAAATCACTGCAGTAAAAACTTTTTTACATAACAAATTTACCATTAAAGATATTGGAGAATTAAAATATATCTTGGGTATTGAGATTGCCAGATCTGATAAAGGTTTAAATCTTTGTCAGAGAAAGTATACACTTGACATTCTTAATGAATATGGTTACTTAAACTCTAAACCTTACACCACACCTATGGACTCCAAACTTAAGTTTTCCAAAAAAGATGGTACTATTTTAGATAATCCTAAAGCATATAGAACCTTAATTGGCAAACTGTTATATTTAACTGTTACAAGGCCTGACATTGCTTATAGTGTTCAGGTCCTTAGTCAATTTCTTTCTTCTCCTACTGACATTCACATGAGTGCAGCTCATAGAATTCTAAGGTATCTTAAGAATTCTCCAGGTAAAGGTCTTTTCTATCCATCTATTTCTGATTTTTGCATTCAAGGTTATACTGACTCTGACTGGGCTGCTTGTTTAGATACTAGAAGAAGTGTTTCTGGTTATGCATTTTATCTTGGTAATGCTTTAATATCATGGAAATCTAAAAAACAGCAAGTGGTAAGTAGGTCTTCAACTGAAGCTGAATATAGAGCTGCTGCTAATGCAGTTTGTGAAGCACAATGGTTATATTATATTCTTCATGATCTGCATATACATTTTACCTCACCTATTATTATATATACTGATAATAAATCTACTTATCATTTAGCTCATAATCCCATTCAACATCAAAGAACAAAACATATAGAATTAGACTGTCATTTGATTAGAGAAAAAATAAATTCTGGTTTAATATCTCTGGTCCATATTAAAAATAATTTTCAACTTGCAGATATCTATACTAAACCACTTGGGAATCCACTCTTCAACCAATTTGCAGCCAAGATGAACATGATGGACATCCATGCTCCTCTTGAGGGGGCGTATCAAGAATAATTATCTGGGCTAGCTTATTTTTCATTAAGTCTTTTGGGCCTTTTATATTTTCCATTGGACTTTAGTTATACTTTGTAAACAGGCATATATATCTTCTGATCCTTGTAAATTAGGTTAAGTTTTCTCATTCAAGTAATACTGAAAACACGCTCCTGAGCTCTGCGAAACTTTCAATCATCTTCTTCATTCAATAGATTTCTTCATTCGACAATTGTTATTTGGTGAAACTAACCAAATCCGTGAAACATCCCAAATTGGTGAAACTTAGTTTTGACCAATGTTCTAAAAGGCGCTAGGCGCTACTCGGGCGCCAGCCCAGCGCCTAGCGCCTGGTCGGCTAGGCGGGCGCCTAGTCGGGGATTAGTCGGAGACATAGAAATTGCATTTTTATCTATATTTTTGCATAAATATGATAAGTAATATTGTATTTTTGTGTGTATAAAGTACATATATACATATACGTTAATATGAATAATATTAACGTCAATATTACTAGACTATTGGGTGAAAGCGAGATATATCACTTTTGAAAGCAAAGATAAGAGCAATGAAATGGTCCTAAAATTACCATTAGAAAAATGTAGTTGTCAATATGTCCCGCCGACCAAAGAACCGCATGTCAATAAAGTTGTATCCCTATATCCCTAACTAGTAATTAGGTGTTGCAAATTCAAAATTAAAAGGAAATGGGAGAAGAAAAAGAAGCCACTTACTCATATTACGCTTAGAGTCAATAAAAAGATAAAATGCAATTGTTTTACCGTAGGATAGGTGCAAGGTGAGCATCCTGCTCCCATAGTTATAATGAAATGTAAACTGTGTGAATCAACATGTAACTTCAGGTTAATCAAGGTGTAAATTATACTCATTCAAATGTAAGTCGAACTGCAAATTGCTTTAATTCAAACGTAACTTGGGGATGTTAGGTGCTTCTCAAAAGTAGAATTTCAGGGATAAGATGTTAGGTGCTTCTCATTGTAATCTATGTTACAACAACAAACTCTAGAAAAACTTTGGAATATCATGTGGAGAATGGGAGTTCTTATTATGTTGTACTATCTACTACGAGCCTATTTGATAACACTCAAATCGACTAAATCAACTAATTCTGTTGAAATTGATGAAGTTTTGACTGAACTAGCTGAATTGACTGATTGTGCTAATTTATGAAAAAAATTATATGTAAATATAGTATTAATAAAATAAAAAAAATTACATGGGAAAATAACTAAAATGGTCTTCTACAATAACTTCTGCTAATAAAGCTAGAAAAGTAACTTTAACATTACTTTTTCTTATTACTCCCTTCGTCCCTTATAATTTTGCCAACTTGCCTTTTTTGGTTATCCCAAAAACTTTGTCACTTTCCTTTTTAATCAATCAATTTGTGGCTCCTGTTATTTTTCTGTCGTCTGCACAAATCTCTACCACACAATTTTTACTTTATTATTCTACGTGCTGGTCAAACTTGGCAATCCTTTTAGGGACGGATGGAGTATTACACAACTCAATGCTCGAAATTAAAAGTTGCGTGTTGGTGAAAAAGTTAGTTGATAAGCTTAATAATCCAAAAAACAGTGCCACCAAAGAAACTCTATCTCAAATATGATAATTATTATCAAGTTTGAAAAATATTGTCATGTTTAAAGTCTAGTACTCTGAAAACGTGACAATAGTAACTTCTATTTTGGAACTAAAAATATAAGATGACAACTCCGGTACCCATTTAAAAAATGGGGTACCGTACCTATCATGCATTTGATAGGTCCAAATCATTATATGCTTTTTAATTTAGATTTAAATAATTCAACTGCATCATTGATCCATTTGGATAAATGTACGGTACATTTGGGGTACCATAGAATCTACCAAAATATAATAGTTCTATCTTGAAACATACGAACGTCTATTTCACATAATTTTCCTTTTTTATTTTAATGAATCAAACACTACCCGAGAGACTCACTAGAAGTGTTTTCCTTGTGCAAAAGTGATTTTTCTTACATGCCACGAGAGCTCGCGATCGCTGCCGGCGTGGACTATAAATGATGCAAGGAGCAACAATTTTTGCAACATCAAACCAGGAAATCTTTCATTTAGTGAAGAGATTACTAAAATGGCAGAGGTTGAAATCGTATCAACATGCTTAATTGGAGCTGCCTGTGCACCACCGGCGGAAAGGTCAAGAATTGAGTTGACCCCATGGGATCTGCAACTCCTCCTCATTGGCACCATCCAGAAAGGACTCCTCTTCCCAAAACCCACCATACAACAGGAACAAAACCTCTTCATTCACTCGACGCTAATTGATCGCCTGAAAACCTCTCTTTCCGCCACCCTCGATTTCTTTCCTCCGCTTGCCGGCCGTTTTGCCACGGACGAGGAGGATGAGAAGAATAACACCTCTACCGTTTTTGTCGACTGCAATAATGCAGGCGTCGAGTTCGTAGAAGCCAAGGCCGCCGGCGTCACCGTCGCGGCCATTCTTGATCCGTCCAACGACGCCGCCGCAAAGACAATCCGATCTTTCTTTCCCCTTAACGGAATCCGGAACCTCGACGGGATCTCCAAGCCGCTGCTGGGTGTGCAAGTAACAGAGCTTCTCGACGGCTACTTCATCGGCTGCACTTTGAACCACGGCCTCGGCGACGGCGCTTCCTTCTGGAACTTCTTCCGCTCTTGGGCGGAGCTATCACGCGGTTGCCCTCAAATCTCGGAACCTCCCATCCTGGACCGCTGGTTCCCGGAAAGCACTACCCGCCCCGTTCGTCTCCCTATGGCTCTCAACAAAGAAAGACTATCTCTTGGCGGTCTGAAAACTCCGCCGGCATACCCAGAGAGGGTATTCCGGCTAACCAGAGAAACCATAGCCAAGCTCAAAGAAAAAGCAAACTCCGAATTGGGAATTGAAAACAACAATTCCGTCTCCTCCCTGCAGGCATACATGGCCCACATATGGCTATCCGTCACTCGCGCACGGGAACTCGACGGGAGCGAGGATGTTCAAATCTCCATTACCATCGGAACCCGATCGAGGGTCCCGCTGCCGAAAGGGTACTGGGGAAACGCGCTTTACGTAAAGATGGTGACCGCGAAAGCAGGGGAGCTGTTGGAGAAAGGATTGGGCTGGGCAGCTTTGAAGCTGAAGGAAACTGTGGAGAAACAGGGGCGCGAAGAAGTGATGAATGGGTATTTGAGCTGGGTGAGATCGCCGGCGTTTCTCGGCGAGAAGAAGCTTTTCCTGACTAGTAATACGCTGGTCATAGGCAGCTCTCCCCGGTTCGACATGTACGGAACGGATTTCGGGTGGGGAAAGCCGGTTGCGGTGAGGAGCGGAATGGCGAATAAGTCGGACGGGAAAGTGACGCTTTTTGCTGGACCGGAGGAAGGGAGTGTGGATATAGAGCTCTGTATTCTTCCCAAGACTTTAATGGGACTGTGTAACGATCCAGAGTTCCTGGAGTATGTCACTATTCCTGGAATTTGAAATTTTAAACTTCCCATCCGTCCTGTCGAAATAATGTTTTCACCAACCTCTTGTTTATGTTGACGAGTTTAATGTTTTGTTTATTGAGAAAAAAGTGTCCATTTAGTATATCAAGTTGTAAGGTAAATAGTACTCCCTCTCCCTCTGTCCCTAATTTAACTTCTCACTTTCCTTTTTACGCAGTTCCGAAATTAACTTCACACTTCAAAACTTTTCTTATTTGGCAAATAATCTACATAAAAAAGTGTTATACAGTGTCAAACAGTGTTAAACAGTGTCCAAACAGTGTTTAAACAGTGCAAAATAGTGCAAAACAATGCACTCCACAGTAAAGTCAAATTTATTTTCTTAATCTGTGTGAAGTCAAACTGTGAACTTAATTACGGGACGGAAGGAGTATATCATTTCGTAAGTGTGTTTGAGAGGTACTCCCTCCATCCCCTTTTAAATGTCCCGTTTTACCATATTGGGATGTCCCTATTTAATTGTCACATACCTTATTTGGTAAAGTTTGTGTGGCTCAAAATCATTCTTACTTTATCAATTAATATCAACCACACAAACCTACTTTTCTTAAAACTCGTGTTACCCTCTTTCGGGACATTTAAAAGAGGATGGATGGAGTACATGAAATCGCTAAATCAGTTTTAATTGAGTCCATCTTTATATTAGAACATTTAAAACGCCTAGGTGGCAAATGGATTACGGCAAAATAAAAGCCACCTCATCAGCTAACTTGATGACACCCTTGCTTAGCCTCCTCTGAACTAGCTCTTCCTTTCCTCACAAGGGCGATCACCTCTGAACCAGCTCTCCTTGCCTCTTCGGAATCAAACTAAAACCGACCTTTGACATCTGAAATCTGTGCATCTCTGACATCGGAATAAAACCTATGAAATATGTCAAGAAAATATAGGAAACAAAAACACATTTATTTTCATCGAAAGGTACTAGATCGAGAGACAAAGGAAAACGCAGGGAAAACGTATGGTGTTGATTTCGCCAAAGTGCATGCTATTGGGAGAGACAATGGATGCATTATAGCTTCGTCTCATGTCATTATAAATTGAGCCTATTGAGCCTATGTATTTCAAAAACAGGGAAAGTGATTGAGAGGGAATCGGATGCTTCTGCTACAATATACTATCGTAATCAAGAAGAGCACCTTCATGGACCATGGTGGTGAAAAGCGGGCAGAGTGGGATAGTTTTCAGACGTCAAATAAACGTTCGCCGCCGCCACTCCAACCGTCATCAAATTTACACAACACACGCAAATTAAAGATGACTATTATTCAAATAAAGAAGAACAGAGGAATAAATAAAAAGAAAAGAAAAGGATGTGGGGACTGGGAGAAGGAGAGAAAACAAAATAAAATTAAAAACGTTTGCTTTGGGTTTGGTGTGTGAATCTTGAAGATATCTTTTGCAAGAGAGAGTTAATAGGATATCAGAAGATTTTTTTTTTGCGTTGATTAGTGTTCTTGAGCTATCCTTCAGATTTGGTTTGGGTCGGATCAGTATAGATTCTTCAGTGCAAAAATTTCAGATACCACAGGTGGGTTTTGGTTCAGAGGTGATAGCCCGGTGAGGAAAGGAAGAGCCGATTCAGGTTACGGGTGGCTTTTATTTTGCCATATCACCAATCCGTTTGACACCTAGGCATTTTAAACGCTCTAATACCCCCAATGGACTCAATTAGCACTGATTTGACGATTTCATGTACTATATTGACACTTTCTTCGGTGTTTATTGCTATAGATAAACTTCTCTCTATTTCTTTAAGGGTATATTTGATGCAAGAAATGTCAGATTGCTGGATATGTATTCAATTGATTCCATTTGTGTCATAATTTATTTGATTGGAAGATATCTTATATTGCGGATATGATGAATTACTTTTATGCCCTTTAAATATTTTCTCTTAACGCATTAAATCTATTAGGGAGTACAACATACATCTAAAGTGATTAAAATTAAAGAAAAAATAAATATCGTAATAATAAATAAAATCAAACTTAATTGAATTATTTTTAAGTAAAATATGTTTAATTGTAAAAAATTGTAGATCCAATACAGGAATGAAAAAAAAAATGTTTGTTCAAATAGTAATATAAATATATTTATTATCATCTCAAAAAAATTAAAAAACAATCAAGTAATTCGTAAAACTTGTTTTAAAAAAAAATGACCAATTTGGCTATTATATTATGAAATCCACTCATCAAAACATAAATAATTTATAACTCTTATAACATAAATACCTTTTCTTTTTTAACATAAATACCTTAAAAAAATTAAATGTTAAGGAAAAAAATGCGAACAACAAGAAATGACATTCAAATTTAATTAATAAGCCGCACTCTTTTTTGGCTTATCAGGCTTATCAGTCAACTTTTTCACCAAACACGTAACTTTTGCTTTAGCGCGCTGTATTGTGTAATAAGCAGAAAAGGTAAGGTTGAAGTTACTTTTCTGGTTGTATTGGCTGAAGTTACTGTAGATGATCATTTTAGCTATTTTTACATATAATTTTTTCTTTATTTTATTAATAAAATATATTTTAAAAATAATTTTCTCTTAAATCAGCAAAATTAGCCAATGCAGTCATTTCAGGCAGAACTTTATAAATTTCAACAGAATCAACCAAAACAACCGATTTTTGTGCTACCAAATGAGCTCTAAATTTGAGGTATTTAAATTATTTTATTCCTGAATTTAAGATGTCTTTACTTGACTGTTTTTTGTCCCAGAGTAAATCAGATCAGACCAGACCAGACCAGACTAGAACATTTATAAAATACCCAAAAACCAATCTTTACTGCAATAACTCTTTTTTTTTTCGTTTTTAGGGTAGAAAATCAACTCACACGCGGACTTTATTGTAAGACGTACTACGTACTTCGTTGATCTCGAAGGTATGCAAATGGCTAATCGGAGATTTCAAGATTATCCAAGTAAAATACTCCATATTGCAGTTGAATAAAAATAAGGTTCCTTAAAATCCTAAATGGGTCAATTGAATAATAATAATTGATCCGGTTCGGGTTTTTCGGTTCCTGTTTGTATGTCTTAAAAATAGTAACAATTTACGAAGTTCCAAAAATCAATAATATAGGGCTTTGGAAAATCTCAAAATAACAACACAGTCAACAACGTGCACATTTAATACAACTACACAAGTGATATGTCCTAGTCGATAGCTTCATATATTTAAGTTCCAAACATTCAAAGAAGTTCCAAAAATCAGCAACATAACCAGTGTTAAGTTCCCAAATCATAACTTCAAAGGTCCAAAATAACAACATAGTAAACCTTCAAAAAGTCCTAAATGACAACATCAAAATGACAACATAGTTTACCTTCAACATAATTTACTAGCATAATAATTTTAGTAAACATTATAGTTGTAATTTTACTAGAATATAATTATCAATTAGTAGTAGTTGTAGTAGTCTTATTGTTTCCTACTCCATAAAGGTTTTCTATTCCTACACATTTAGGAAATTAGTTAAACTACTGAAACTAGCAAAAAATTTAACTTCACCACAAGACATAAATTAATTGTAAATTACTAAACACTATATATAACAGGCCGAGGCGGGTACCCGACCCTACCCGGACCGTTTTTTAGCAACAAAAATTAGAATCAGCCCGTTTTGGACCCGAACCGCCATTACCCGATCCGGACCGAGGTTCCAAGATTATCCAAACAAAATACTCCATATTGCGGTTGAATAAAAATAAGATACCTTAAAAGCATAAATGGGTCAATTGAATAATAATAATTGATCAATTCCTCCGTGCAGAGTCTATATAAAAGTTCTTGGTCCGAATTGAACAACCATAGAAATTAAATGGAGATGATAAGCTTACCAAGAGCTCTCTTGCTCATAGGGGCCATATCCGTGCTACTGTTACAGGTTGGTGGTTTCTGCTCTCTACTTCCATGGCTATAGTCTCATACTTTCTGCTGATATATGATGATTCTCTGTACTAAGCTCATCGATCACTATTTGGTAGCTTCAGTTGGATGTTCCGTTTCCGTTTTGTACACACACAGTATCTTTATTGGTTATAATTCCTTTCCTTTTTGAAATTCATCCGTGATTTGATTGTGTTTTGTGAGTATGAGCCTTTTCAAACAAAGCAGGTTAAACAAATGAATACGAAATATATTCATTACCGTATAGTCATGTTTACCAGATGCATAAAGTTTATGATAACAGGTTAATTCCTTAAATAACGCATAACTGGCCAAAGATTATAAATTTTCAAGTAGCTGCCCTAAATAGTAGTGAAAAGTGAAAACAACTTCCTTACCATTAAATAGGATTAAAAATGGCCACTGATTCAGCTCTACACAGTCAAGTTAAGACAGCTAAGAAGGCGCCAAAAAGTTGTGATAGAAGTAAATCAAGTAATTGAATGTTAGTTGTGTTAGTTAGAAGCTGTTATACCAAGTAGATTTTTTGTGATTTGTATATAAACCTCTTTGTAATCAATTCATCTATAGATAATACTCAACTCCTTTCCATCTCTCTCTCTTCTTATTCTATCAGTTCTACATGTTTCTGATATTTCCCAACTTGTAAAAGACAGTAGAGCATTAAGTCTTGCATTATTGGTATCATAGTCACCAACTTTTCTGCCAGTGAAGAGCAATTCAAAGCTCTGCAACAGACTTTACAACAACAAATTTGTATCCAAACAAAGGAAGCTGAACTGGAGAGTTAATTGCTATTCAATATAGGAAACTAGCAAAACAAGCTTCAATTATTCAGAATATGATGATACACCATCAAGCAGACCATTAGAGCACATTCCTAGACTAGGATTTCCTGGATATAAGCAAGTATTTAGAAGCCACCCAATTTTGTGCTCTTCAATTAATTCCGACTGAAATTGGGGAGGAACCTACTGGTCTAGACATAACTTGTCAGATAACAAGTATAAAATTTATTGATAATGCTCACAATTGCAACAACGTCTTCGGAAGTATGAATCCGTTTTTGAGGATCTCAAAACTCTTCCTTCTTCTAAAGGGATATTTAATCATAAGATCCCACTTGAAACTGGTGCAGGACCTGTTAGCATAGGA